TCATCAACTTCACTCCTTATCTCTTTAATCGCTGCCGTGAGTAGGTCGTCTTCTCTTTGGGTTCCTGTAACATCAGGGTCTCCTAGTTCCAGAAGGAACTGAGTTAACTGAGTACTATTTTCAGAAGTTGATTGTATATCAACACACTCGTTACAGAACCAACCAGTGGAAGTGTTTATAAGCTGTTCATAGATTAGGCTACTCATGTTAATACAAGTACAGTGGAACCATCTTTCGCAACTATTGCAGCAAACTGCCGCATCAAGGTCAGTACACAGAGAGGAACAAACAGGGCAGGTATCATTGGTCTCTCCGGAGATGTCAGTTGAGGTCTGGCTGTCAGATGTAACTTCCCTTAGATTATCAGGCTGAAGCAGAATGTCTAATGTACTGTCCGAGCTTGATCCACTTCTGATGTCAATTTCTGGTACCAGTGTGCCACCAAAAGGAACCAACTGAATACAGTCTACTTCATTGTTAGATTTAGATCTGGTTTTCATCATTTCCAACCCAAAAACGGGGACCACCACTGTTTTCCGAGTCGATTACCAGCAGGAGCTGTAGCTTACCGCTGACAGTCCCTACTGGATGCGGGTCTCCTTAACAGTAGTGGATCCGAATTTGGGATCTGATGGAGTAATCTCGACACCAGAGGGTTTTAAGTAAGTAAGTAAGTAAGTAAAGATTATGACATTACATCATCGCAAGTGTCTGAAAAAAATATCATTGCACTAAATAGAAAAAAAAAAAAAATGCAAATAATGCAAACTTGGTCGTTTATACTCCAAGTAAAGTCTCTTGTTAAAAAAGTAGTATAATTTATCTCTGTAGTTAACTTCATTCAATAATAACAATATCTATATCAGTATCAATATCAATATCAAATAAACTAAACTAACGAATAAATTATGAAATATTAATTCTATCTGACACAAATTTGTAAATTAAGGTGTTCAATAATTGTAACATTACATCAAGTGGTTAAAAACGCCCAAAATCGATCTGATTCAGTCCATAGTACAATCATGATAGTAATAGTATGTGCTGCTGCAATTAGATTACAGCAATTAGAAATTGTTTCCAAGTATCTTTTAAGTCAGCGGCCTATGATTGTATTAATAGTGCTTTGGCTCTAAATTTTATCAAGTTAACGCAAACGGAAGTTTCTAGGCAATTGCTTGAACTGAGAATTTTGTATGAGCAGTGTTCCAAAGCTTGGCTGCATTTAACAAAAAGGTATTTGATTTATTTAGAAAAATAATCGTTAGACTCGTTGTACGTTTGAAATATTGATGGCCTCATAAAGGGAGTATTGGCAGTAATACCCTATGATCTTAGATAATTCTGAAATGCAGTTTTGAACCGTTAGAATTTTTAGTTTATTAAACATGAGTTTTGTATGCTCTTTTTCAAAATGTTTATTGCTTAATTTTTGTATGCCATATGGTTTAGTTCGTGCACATGTTGATTTTTTTATAAATATGCGTCGAGATCACCAAAAATAATTTTTATACAGTGCTTCTGTATGATTAAAAAAATTAGTATTTATTTTTAACTATTTACTTGTCACCTGATATGAGGACCCCAGGCTATTATTTGGCGGAATGACAGGCTGAGCGCGGCCCAGTAATTTACTTGTAGGTTTACAACCTACCAGGACGCGCGCCGAGTTGGACAGATATTTTACGAGTATCACCCGTTAACTATTTACATACTATAGCTTAAATAAAATGCAAGCTATGCGCTATATTGTATACTATGCTGCTTCGGAAAATAATGGATGATTTGGATAATAAGTAATTACTATACATTAACTACTAACATTTAATGTACAGCTTATGTTTTAAATAATCCTCCTCCAAGTTTAATAGAATTAAATGCCGCGCCACAGCTAATAATTTTTGAATTATTTGTTTAAGATTTCTGTACGCCGCGCATTACTCAGCACCGAAAATATTTTGAAAAATCGAGCGCTTCACCGAAATTTCCTCAAATTAAGATTGTTTTGAATAGTTAATAAAGTGATCTGTTTAAATCGTGCTTTGCTTTGTGTCTATTATATGGATACCGCCATTTGTAAGGTTTTATTTCTTTTCAATTGATAGTCTGTGCATTACTTCCATGTCCATTTTTTTGCATCACTTACAGCAATGTAGCATTTGATTAATATTTGTTGTTCTGTAGGCTGAGCTTTTGCTACACATTCCATATCCCTTCATGACTTGTATATTCCTTTTATGGCTTGCCGGCTAAGACTGACACAGTTGTTAACGCTTATACAACTGTTCTGTATGGAAAGCTTTCGATTTCATTTTGTTCCTAATTTGTTTTCTTGAAATTGTTGTTTTCTTGAATTGCTCTTAAATCTCTCCTAAATAATGTGCAGTTTAAAGGCATAGATAGTTTAAATAGTAACCGATCCTGAATATTGTATGGGTGCTCATTTCATACACACTTACGTATGCATTGGCAATCAAGCAGCCTCGCATGCACTTCCATTACATGCACTCGACCATGCCATTCAGTATTCAGAAGTATTCAGATTGTTTGTATATTTGGAGTTCTATAGATTTTTATAGAAATTTAAATATTTTAGGGAATTTCATCTTTATTATCTTGAATATTATTTTGATAGGCTGATGAGTTTCATACAGAGATCTCTCTTGGTCATCATCCATTTTTCATATTTTTTGTAAGAAAACCTGCTAACCTTTCTTGGCTATATTCTTGTTAGCTGTATCTGCCTTATTTAGTCAGGATTTAATTTTCAGTTTTAAACTTAATAGTTTCACTCCCATCCAAGGCGAGATGCACAATCTCTAATGTCAATTAGGTATCATTTATAGCTGAGCATAAGGGTTAAATTTAAATTATTTAACCTTTTGGTGCTGTATAAAAATAACATTAATTTATTATTATTATTATTGTGCATGCTCCAAAAATCTCACCTCTTAAACTTATTGCTTAGCTGATATTGAGCTTGGAATGAAACATAGTATAATACAGTAATCTAAATCAGTGGTGTAACGTTGCCTGTTGGCAAAATGTAATCTTAGATTACTTAAAGAGTATGTTATTGCTCACATGAAGGGGACGGTTAATAATAAGTTAAATTATCAGCTACTTGAGATTTTAAAATAAATGTAAGATTACAAGAGTATCATCAAAAAACTCATTGATAATTTCATAGTTAAAAGTTTTGTGATCAAAACTGTATTCCTAATAAAATAATTGAACAGCTTTTTATGAAAAAGAAACTTACTTCCGATACCGCACATTGACATATGGTGTAAATTTTAATTCATATTACGTTTATGTCCACTTAAAGCTTCATTGGTTAATAGTCTCAGGAATTGATAAAACATCTCATCCCCACCATATTTTTAAAAAATATGTTTAACATTGATGTAGAATACCAATTATAAAGTAATATGAGATGTTTAAGTTTGTGAACCCAGTCGGCACTATATTTTCTGCACTCATAGCAGTTTGTTAAATATCAGGATTTACATTGGTAAGTCTGCAGCTTTATTTTCGATAATGTCAAGTTCTAGTCGCTTTTCTTTCTTGGCATCCTGCTCTGTTGCCATGGTTGGGTCTTTGATCCATTCATTCCTTCGCAGTGCTACTGCAAGAAATATTACTGCAATGATAATGATAGAAAGTCCTCCATTCATGTAGAAAAAGGTATTCCACCTTCTCTTGAACAAGTTCTCGTAGTCCTGTTCTGGTAGTCCTTGTTTTTTATCAATTGTTGTCATCCAAACTCTAACCAGTGGACAGAGAAAGCCTCCTAGTGTGCCAATTCCATTAAACAAGCCAAAGATCACAGCGGAATTTGCAGGATCAATTTCATAGTTGATTGTAACAATGGACCCACTAAATGCTGTTCCCCATGTTGCCCATGTGATGAAGATCATTGCTATTGCACCTGGTAAATTTGGAAAAAAGGGCAGCAGGAAATAACCCACAATCCGTATAAGTTGGGGGAGTATCAAAAATGCAATTGATCTCTTGAGCCAGGTGACGTTTCTATCAACTAATGGCAAAAGAAACATGAACACTCCTGTTGTAATTGAGCATCCCAATCCACCACCAAGTTGAATATAGGAGACATCAGGAGTAGATGCACCAAGAATCTCGTGCAGGTAGAAAGGAGTTCCAGTGAGGAGAACAAATAATTGGAAAACGTCAAAAAAGGCAAAGATGCAAAATGCCCAAACATATAGCCGGGTGGCAATATTTTTCAAGGTTGAAAGTGTTATTTTGTTCTGCTTTCCAGTGTCCAAGAGTTGCTGAGCTTTTATCTTTTCTACATAAAGTTCCCTCTCATCATTGTGCATTGCCCTGAAATAATTGAGTCTGCAGATAATCCATTGTATTGTAATCCATTAGTATTTAAATACAATCAGATTACAATAAACAACATTAAGCCACTTTATTGGAACTGTGTAACATATATATTAAAAAGGGTAATATTTCCAATCTGAGAATAAACTCAGTTTTAGTCACTAGATTATTGCTTACCATGAATCCAGTGGGTTTTTCGGTACAAAGATGGTAAGCAGACCAGCCATGACGAAAAATGTGCAGCCATTCAGGTAAAAATAAGCTCTCCATCCGGCTCTACTAGAAAGGAGCCCTGCTATCGCTTGACCAATTGGTTGCCCAATCTGTATGGTTATTCCTGTATGATAAAAATTAAGTTAAAACTTCTATTTTCATACTGGAAAAATTTCTCTGTGAAAGTATGAAGGATGTACACTTAACAGTTTACTGTAATGAAGATGAGTACCAAGATGAAACTTCAATGAAACGAAAAGTTTTCAATGAAACGAAAAGTTTTATTTTACATTTTTTTAATCATAAATAAAATAAGAGCTTAAACCACGAATTAGTTAGCTAGAGGTAAACTTGAGAAATATTTTTGGTGATTGTATATAATTATTTAAAAAACTTTATTTGGTTGTTAGTATTTTAATTATGGTAGGTGGTTGAATTTAGTGAGACAAGGTCAGTTTCTCTATTATCTTGAACTTACCAACAAATGAGATGAATGCTTTGCTCTCATTTCCAATGCACCAGATTGTGGCAAACTCCATCAAGCCTGACATAAAAATGCTTGCACCAAAACCCCTGACTGTCTGAAGGAATAAGACAGTTATTCATCATTTAGATATGAACAATTGCAACAATGGTTTATTTTATACTGAATTTTAATCACAAATTCTTGAAATTAACATTCATCAATCTGATTTTTACTAACCTGCAGAATAATAGCTAGAGTTACAGAATACTGGACAGTTGTAGCAAAAGTCAGTTGAATTATTCCAGAAACCACTGCTATAATTCTAAAAGCCCAGTTTATACCTGAAATTGGTTCACTTCATTTATTGTCATCTAATTGAGTGAGTTCAAGGACTTTGATTCGTTAATAAACTAGTTTATTTCTTGAAATCATGTTTTGAAATATACATCTGAAGGCTCACCAAGCTTTTTAGCGATTGTTGTAGGGATGACCTGTAAACAATATCCGTAGAAGTAGCAGCCCAACAGCACTGCTTTAGTACTTTCCGACCAGCAGAATTCCCCTTTGTCTAAAGGATTCGTACAGTTTGTCTTTGCCATTCCACCGATCATGGCCAGTGCTAGCCCTTGACTGAAGAATGTGGTTGAATATGTAGGATTGTTAGGCGACAACAAATTATTAATGATTTACCAGCTGATGCCTTTATCACTTCGTATTTATACTTGAAAAACGCTACTCTTATCTATGAAAAGAATTGAAGGGAGTCTAAGTTACCTGGAAGTTTGATCGGTGAGGAAGGTCAGTATCAACAGTGATAGCACAACGAATCTGTATTTTGTCTTAACGGTATCTACCACTTTTGATAGCAAAGGCTTTTCTATGATGAGCTCGTCCTCCATTTTAAGTACAACCTTGAAAATTGATGATTTTTCGATTTCTATTCACTGACAAGCATCAAACAAAAAAATTCTTAAACTCACGTATTATAGGTCCGCAGAATGCCATCCAAAATGGTGAAAAAACGAGACAACTGTAAGCAGATAAAATCATCATTTAACGATAATATGAGTATAGGTAGACAATACACATGGTTTCAACCATAATAGCAACATATCCGAAGTGAGGGGGAATATTTGGATACTGTGCATACGTGGCTACTTTATATAGTAGCCAAGTATGCACAGTATATATATAATATATAGTAACTTCATGTTGCAGTATACAAACATTGATTTGTTTAGTGTTTTCAGGCAATTGATGCTGTCATTCAATATCCATCATGATAAAAATAGCTATGGACACTAATATGAGTGTTAAATTAGGAATAAGTTTAAATATCACAGAGTCAATCTAAAATGCAGTTATAGATATAGTTTGGGTTGATCCTAAATGTCATGGCTACCAATGCTCATGCTGGGGAGATGATCCATATTTGTTTTGACACGTGACAGTGATTCTGGGTTTTGATTGATCAATCCTGGAAGCTGATTGAATAATCGCTGTCACAGTGTCACGTGTAAGAATAACATGGTTATAGATTTATGAACTGCTAAAAATAAAAACTATTTTATAAACGAATGTTGCCATCACAACCTAAACAACATTTCACAACCCAAGTAATTTAAACTTCTATGAATTTCTAACGGATCTAACGCATATAAAGATAAGGCACCATAATTCTGACTGAACGAATGACCTGACACAGACTGCAACCGACTTTTGTACCTAGGTCCTACAATCACCAGATCCCAAACGAGCTTTGATAGGTGCATGCTCCGAGGCGACATTCAGTATCTGTTCCATTTAATTATATCAAATTGGTCATATGAACATGATCAGAAGCTAGCATATGATTTGAGCGTCAGGATTTATCTTCTACCTCCAACCTGGCAACGCCAATTATCACCAATCTTCTGAAGACGTGAAGACGTCCTCGTGTCCCGTACATGTATGTGCTGGTGGGAGCACTGATGGTGGGAGCAGGGTATTTAGCCCTGTCTTTACTAACATATTTTCTTTTCTTATCTCCAGTTTAGTAAAGTTTGCCGGCCTGCGGAGGGTCTGGTCCAGGTTGAGCCAGAATGTTTCTAATTCGAGCCAGGGTGTTTCTAATTCGAACCAGGATGTTTTCAATAAGAGCGCCTCTTCCTCCAATCATACCAATATAAATGACGTCTTATCGGCTTTCATACCATTGTCTGTTAATTATATGATTGGAGTAAATTATGCAATTTTATGATAATCAAATTACTCTGCCCTTCTAATTACCGGCAGGTGACTCCTCACGTTTAGTTTATCGGTATCTGATATCGGCATTTGGCAAGAAACCGTATATTTTAAAACTAAATTAATGTTTGGATTATGCGGGGAAATGTTGCATGGTGTGAGATTTTAATTTTATGAACAGTATTTTTTTAACAAAAATTATCTAATATAGGATGTCTGGAAAAGAAAATAATTATAAAGTGGGTGACTGTGTCTGGGTCAAACTGAAAGGATTTCCTCACTGGCCAGCAAGAGTTGATAAGATAGAAAATAAGAAGTACACGGTAAGTTTAATTTGGTGAATTTGAACCTCATTTCCTTAGACGAGACTTGTTAAGTTGCTACAGTTATTCCTTTAATTTTCCCACCGACATACATAATTACATTATTTAATTATTACATTATTTAATTACATGCTCTTTACTCTTCAGATTCACCGTGTTTGTTTGGAAAATAAAACAGTCTGACATTTTCTCTCAGACAAAAATAGTTTCATTACAAACTTCACCTATCTTCACCTCGCAGATGTTTTACTTTGGAACACACGAAGTTGGGAAACAAAAGAAGAACACCCTGCTCCCTTTCGCGCCGTACCGGGACAAGTTCACTCTGTTCAAGGGATCCTATCCCAAGGTGTTACTGGAGGGAGTGTTAGAGGCGGAGGTTAACCCGGGTGCTAAACCTGACGACACTCTTTCTGGTCTCAACTCGGATGCTCAGGTATAGTTCTGACGAAATAATTTAGAACATTTAGTAGCTCTAATTCCGGAGAATTTATAAAAAGGCAAGATTAACACCAAATGCAGACGTCTGGGTATAAAGAAAATAATCAACCGATTTTGAATTGTTCTAAATAGTTTTAAATTAATAAAGACCTGCATTTTCTCAAAATTATAACTTCAAAATCGTTTGCGTCGGTCCCAATTACTCTCCCAATAATTCCAAAGGGGGAAGCTAAAAGTAGTGTTTTACAGTGTATATTTTCAAGACATGTAACCAATTCAGACCCTTTAATTTGAACCTTAATCTCCCAGATTTGGATGGTAATGGGAAAAGAAGGCCAAGAAGATTTCAAGAATCGATTCCCCGAAAGAGCAGCTAAAGCTATTAAAGAAGCAGTGTCTTATACTAAAGGTTTGTGACGTCTGGTATTGGTGTAAAATACTATTTACCAATTTATGAACCAGATGAGAGTTATGTTAGCTGTAATTTCGAATTTCTCCGTACCGAAGGCAAAAAGATCGTAGGGAATAAGTTATCTGGTTCGGATATATGAGGTTGCCAAACTAGGAACCGACCGGATATCCGGCTGAATCCGGATCCGGCCGGATATCTGGCTTCAATATATCCGGTTCCGGCTCCGGTTTTTAAAAATTTGCCGGATTTTTGCCGGATATTTCTTTTTTTTAAACGTATTTCTAAAATCTTGAAATGCATATTTTGTCGTCACATTTTAACTCGAATCCCTTAAATCAAACATTTTGTGACTTATAGGTGCGGACGTTGAAAAACCAAAAAAATATTTTCGGCTCATAATGAACAGGGTAGCATGAAACGTGGAGAAAAGTGGTTTTCAAAAAAACTTCGAAAAACCATTGTCTTAGAAAATTTTCGGTCCGAGTCATTCTCGATACGTATCTCCTGTATCGAGAGCTCCCGCTTCCGAGCTTGTGTTGCAAAGGGGAGGCCTACCTTCCGAGATCACATTACCAGGGGAAGCCTCGAGTCCAAAATTGTGTATCGAGGGGTGGGTGCGGACTTTGAAAAACCAAAAAAATATTTTCGGCTAATAATGAACAGGGTAGCATGAAACGTAGAGAAAAGTGGTTTTCAGAAAAAAATTTGACTTAACAATCGGTGAAAGGTTATAATATTCCCTGCAAATGTTACTACATGTGTCAAATCGGAAGTAGGGAAATAAAGAGTAACCTCAATAATGGACCTGTTATAACTCTGCACCCGTGTCAATATGTTCATTATATGCAAGCCTCTTGATTTATAACCAGTAAATATCATGCAGGAATTGCATGTGTCAGAATGGTATTCAGAATTCTTGCACATTTCGTTTCCTAAACTCGGGTCAGACAGAGTTGATACAGAATAGGTAACAAGGATAAGTACGGACAGTAATGATTGGTTCCAATATTGGAATACTGGTCCCTGATTGGTTCCAATATTGGAAATTTGGAATACTGGTCTCTGATTGGTTCCAATGTATTTATCTAGAGAAATCTACTCTGTATACAATGTCACCTACTCAATCTACCGGGACTGAAACGTCACTAACCAGGTTTACCTTATCACTAGACTACTCCCTCCCACTGCCTACTATCTTATCAGTACAGTACTGAGTACAGAGTACCGGTACTATTCTAGTAAACAGACACACTTAGTCGGGTAGGGAAGTGGGGAGAGACACAGACTTATCATATATATTGCTGACGTAAGCTACTCCTTCGAAAGAAAAAAGGAGCAATCAAATAACAAGTGTTTTACTTGAAGTGTTTTACAAGTGCATTGTCCGCATCCCTCTGTCACGCCTGCTTCTTCTTATCTCATATTATCTCATCGTTGCTGGTCTTTCATGATTCCTCGTCTCTTCACTGTCACAAAATTAACAATTCCTAAACAGAGTACTTGATGAGAGCATGACCGTATCTTAACTGAATTATTAGTTCCCTGCAAGTTACCATGGAAGTCCATGATACTTAATTCCTCGGCAGCTGTATACAATGAAATTAAGCAGTTCCACCTCCCAACTGGATGGTGAACTGGAACTACCAAAATGACTGTACAACAAAGTTTCAAGTAAGAAACAGAAGTTGCTTATACTGAAATCAATGTTCCATAAATATCAATGTTTACTGATAATCACCTGTTTTAAGAAATGAAGCTGGAGCGACTTAAAGAAGGTATAAAAGAAGACACAGATAACAGTTCCGCAGAAGATAACGAAACAGAAACAGAAACAGAAAGTGAAATAGAGGTAACTTTCAACACATCAGCGGGGAGCAGTAAGATAGATACCAGTGATGGTGAACACGTGACCAAAGGCCACGTGGCCAGTGATCACGGAGATACCACTGATAAACATGATCCGAGCTCTGAGGATATGGGGAGAAAACACAGTGGAGAGAAAAGTCGGGTAACTGACGAGAAGAAACATAAACAGGCGGATAAAATAAAGATATTGTCTAGGAAAAGAGTAAACTCTGAGACAGTACCTGGGTAAGCTTTGCTTTGATTCAATCTGAGATCATAATGATATTTGGAAACTTAAACTGACGACTAAATATTTTCTCCTTTAAAAATTCATTATCCTTGTTTTTGTCATGAATGTTCCAAGCAAACTAAAAAAACAAAGCTTGAATTACAAAACTCTTACCCAACTCTGTGCTTATAACAGTTCACACTTACGTCTCAAACAAGATCACTTACTTTCCTCTACATCTAGATCTGAAGATGTGGGTAGCCCCGTCAGAAAGAGAAGACGGACCCAGTCTGAGTCCCTGAGGAACAGTTCCTCAACTGGTACCCGACAAAACACAATCAGCGACCTTACTGACTGTCTCAGGTTAGTAAACACTGACTGTCTCAGGTTAGTACTAACAATATTTTTATTTCATCCGGTTTTTTTTTGTTTTCTTTTTCGTGACTGGCTTACAAAATATACTCATGGACCTGTACTGAGGAAATCTCCCCTAGTATATTACAAGTGTTAAATATTGTACCACCCAGGTATTCACTCAGACAATCCCACCTGAACGTAGGAGCTGCACACATGATACTATCAGACATTGAATCATTGCACGTGACACCTGCAGATAGCATCGAACTCTTAATATCGTCCTTGAGTTTAATTAGTCGCTTAGAGACACTCCCAAAAGTAAGGGACAGAAGCTCAAAACTTCTTTCAGAGATTGATGGTACTGGTAGAAATCCGTAGGAATTATGTATGTTTAATAGGTGGTATGCTTTCTATTTAATTTTTATTTAAGGTTAACTTGATTATTTAATGTTATTATTGTGATTTTGATGTTATGTTCACCGGCGGAGGATATTGCTAGTATGACCCTTGTTTTCACTTCAATGTATCGTTTTAAAATTGTATTGAAATGAAATTGTTTGAACATTGTCAGCCGTATAAAAAGTTACAAAAAGAATTTTGACGTGTCATATTATGTATTTTCTAACTTCGATTGTGTTTCAAATTATACACAAATGAAATTTGTAAGCAATTTCAATTCTATACTCCGACTTTACGGGCTTATGAATCATTTCATAAATATCTTTATTAATATTTCTGATGTGTTCGTTTTGTTACGTTGTATTAAACAGCACTCTCTTTAATAGGATCAGGATGTTTAGACACAATTAACCGAGATATACCGCTGTGTTGATCCTAAATACCACTGAAATGTGAAGTTAACACTGAACATGTTATCAAGCAGCCGTCTTATCTCCAGTGCTAACCGTGCCAGATCAGACATTGACCAGGTAATAGAGTCCCTCAGTTCTGAGCAATCTAATTCTAACAGCAGTGACGCTAAGGGGCTCAGTGAGGATACATCTGATGTTGTGCCGGAGGATGGGTTGAGTTCCTCTAAGAACTGTTCTGTGGAGCGGTATCATGATTTGGATGGATGCCAACAAAAGTCAGCCTTTCATCTGTATTCGTGTGGGGAGCTATCCGAGACTTACACTCAACAGCTGCAGTTTGACGATAAAAGTACGTTAGTTTCCGCGTTTTTTGGCGACGTTTTATTTCAGCTTCAAGACCAACATGATCGCACCAAAATAGCACAGCAAAGTTACCATTTAAATGATAAGTAATCTACTCACCAACCATATTTAGCACCAGGTATTTGTTAATTAATTGATTACACCAGGTAATGATGCTGATGACGACACACCAATAAGCTCAATATGGGAGACCAGATGGTTTGATCACGCAGCTCTAGTGGGCCGCTTTATGGCTGAGGACAAGATACATTCCGACCAGGACGCAGCCGGCTCTGATACCCTGCAATGTAAGTTGTAAAGTTTTAATCTGAGAAATGTACGGAATTTCCTTCAAACTTTGCCCTGAAATTTCGATTGAGCTGGTATGTTATGATCAACCCTGTAATAGATGTTAATATTTTCAGACATACCTGTACCTTCTCAAGAGATAACAATAACCTCCTTACTTGAGCCTCGTCCCGAAAGTACGGAAGTTAAAAAGTCCCTGTCAAAACAGAAGTCGAGGGTAAAAAGTAAAGTAACCGTCACCAGTAGCAGTGCGCCACCCCACTTCAAGTGTAGAGTACAAGATTGTAAAGCTTCAGTAAGTTTTGTAATGGTTTTATAATTTAGCTGATCTGCCAGAGAAAATAAATGTTAGAATAAAAGCGCATCTTCAGGTAAGTTTTACCTCGTCGTTGCTTAGCAACATCAAAAGATTGTACGTGCGCGAGCAAGCACAGATCATCATTGCGCGTTTTCGTGCTTTATGTTACGTCATGACTAACTCACATTACTCTCATTCTATGACTAATCATAACTTTGGCTGTGATCCATATTTTTTTGATGCGGTAAAAAGTATCGATTAGGGAATAATTAGAACTTTGTCGTCAACGTCATATTATAATATAATATACGAGTTACATTATGTGCGTCAAAACCAATGAGCAAATAACGTATTATATTATGTTAAATACCGAGTATTAGATGTTGCTGAGTTTTGTAAATCAACATGGAATTTACAAGCGACGAAGTTATTATAAGTAGCAGTTATTATAGTTTTTAGAAAAACAGTTTTTATTCCCAGAAGAATGTCGTTGTTATTTAAGATAAATGACTTGGTCTGACGGGGGGGGGGGGTACCACTGTCCATTTTATCCCTGCACAAAAAAAACTGAAAAAAGACAAAGACAAAAGGGACAAAAGGGACAAGAGGGACAAAAGGGACAAAAAAAGATAATAGGGACAAAAAAGACAAAAAAGACAAAATAGACAAAAAAGACGGGGACAAAAAGGACAAAATGGACAAAAAGACAGGGACAAAATGGACAAAATGGACAAAATGGACAAAAAGGACAGGGACAAACGAGACAAATAGACAGGGACAAAATGGACAGTAAAGAAAATAAGGTCAATTATCTGTTGAAATGCAAAAAATAAGTTCAGGCACAGTTCCAACAAGCTAATAAGTTGGGTAAATTCAGACAGAACAGTAAAGTCAATCTTGGTTAATGGTTATATATCAGCCTTAGTGTACTCACTGTTCAAGACAACTTGGTCTAGTCCGATATGCCTGCTCACTGATTCACATTTGACGTTTGAGCTGAGCTTGCATTGCAAACAACACTCAAAAAGCAAGACAACTAATATTGCACTGAGGGGATACAGAGGAAGAGATATAACTACTCTGTTTGTTCTAGAGCTAGTTATTAGATTGAATATGGATTAAGGGCAGACATTGATGAGGCTGATTATCGGGATTATCTATTACAAAATCTTAAAATTCAGAATTATACATTGTTAACAATTTCGTTTTGCTAACAGCTCTCTTCGTCTGATGATCTAGAGAAGTCGCTGATTTCCGATAGGGTACAGGGTGTCGATTCTTTATGCTTCCTGTGTCTGAGGAAGCGTTCCTTCTTGTTCCACAGTTGTTTACATTTAGCTTCTTTTTCAGCTGTGTTTTTCAGTCATAAGTTTTTGTAAGTAATTGTGTGGGTCTGGGTATCTACTTCTGGCCGCTATGAGCGTTATGATATTAAAAGATTATGACTTTTTTGATATCACCACTTGATTAATGGGATTAATGAAATATTGACTGAACCGTGTACACATTTATTTATGTATTGCCGTTGATGAATTCTGCTTATTTCAGTCCCTTCAGTGGTTTCAGTTGATTCTAAGTACAGCAAAACACTGACATAAAAATCTAAATTGTAGATGTCGAGTAGAATATATACATTCTCTACATTTGAGCTTGTCTAATTTTTTGTCTCATTTGTCCAAAATTTGTGTCCCTTTTGTCCCTTTTGTCCCTAGTATTGTCCATTTTGTCCCCAAAACACTGTCCTTCACAAAAAAATGTAAAAAAAGACAAAGACAAAATGGACAAAATGGACAGTGGTACCCCCCCCCCCCCCCCCCCCCTCTGACCTCGTAAGCTATTTAGAGAGTTAATTCTAAAAGTGTCCATTTTAATGTTATAGCATTTATTTGAAATTAGTCAATTTATTTGATATCGTGTAACATTCCGTCATTCAATGGGGCGAAGTTTTATCAGTTTAGTTAATATGGTTTTAGTGTTTGCTTGTAAGGGGTCGTTCACATAAATTGCACATGAGATATTGGAAATCACAAAATAACCGTACCAGCTTTGTTCCAGATCAAATCTTTGATCGAGTAGGACAAATCATTTCGAAGTTAATTTTGTTTGATATCTAAGAGAGTCGTAGCTCAATTTTGGAGCTATAGAAACCTTTCTGTAGAAATCACGTGGCTTCCCACATGACATCCATTCGTTACAGAAACAAAAAGATCTTTATTATCATTACATTCTTTATTATGTTAGTTATAACCTCAACCGTGACCATCATATTATTATGTGTCGTCAAAGTTTTATTATGTATTGTAAAAGTTTTTATTATCTGTCGTCTAACCAGAGCTCGTAAAAATTGTTATCATGTGTTGTTATACATCGTATTGTAGTCACTTTTAATTATTTATATTTGCATACATTTCATAGTTTCATTATGTATGTTTATATATCATATATTATATAATGACTCTTACTTGACTTAAGGCGGCTTCAGCGTCCGAGTATTGATGCGCTGTCTCCATAAAACTCTATCCGCCATAAGTCCGCCCATTTCTCCAGTGTCGTTGAGACCCGTGTCAGCCCGTATTATATAATGGTGTTATTAAATTTAAATTTATTATTATTATGTTTATATACTTGTTATTACTTCTGTTATTTGTTTCTCTCAGTTCATGACCACCCTACTGTTAGTCCTCATTACACTCCTGGTGTTCTGTCCTAACCCAGCACAAGCTAATGAGAGTCTCAGAGATCAAGATAACGATCTTAAACCTTGGGCAAAAAGAGAAACTCTTTCTGAGGAAGATAACGACGAAACAACAAACGATGGTGTAATCGGAAACAGTGGGTCAGGTGGTAATGATCAGAATAGTGGAAATGTTGAGAATAGTGGTAATGCTGAGAATGGTGGTAATGTTGAGAAAGGTGGAAATGTTGAGAAAGGTGGAAATGTTCAGAATAGTGGTAATGTTGAGAATGGTGAAGATGTTGAGATTGGTTTAAATATTCGCAATGATAATACGGGGAGTGATGATGACAACACTAACGATAGTGGAACAGGTGGCGATGATGATAGTAAGAACGAGACTAAAAAGGGTAAATCTAAAAAAGGTTTATCCATGAGACTGTTGGCATTAATCATTGCATTATTTCTTGGTGTAGTGATATGTTTGTTCATATTCTATCAGTATAAACAGAGATTTATGACATTTGACTAATGATGCTTCAATCTTCATACGGAGGAGAACACGAATCGTATAACATGCTAGAAACCCGATGTATATTCGCGGAAATTTGAAATCAGTTATAATATGTTCTAATTTCTCTCCATCATCTAGCTCCGTTTTGTAAAAAATATGGATTTTTATTTGACGATGATAATAAAGTTCCCTAGTCGATACTTTTTATCATAAAATAACAATCACAGTCAAAGTTAAGAATAGTCATTAGTCATAGCGTGAGTGTAAATGTAAGCTAGTCATGACGTATCATAAAGGCTAAAGCATGAAAACGAGCAGTGATGATCTGTGCTTGCTCGGGCATGTGCAATATTTTTAGGTTGTTAGGGACGACGCAGTAAAACTTAGCTAAAATTGTGCTTTTATTTTAACGTCTATTTTTCCTCACTTCCGATGTTGTTTACAAGAAATCTGAAGCCTAAATAAAAATTCTAAAAATGCTATAATAGCTGCATATCCTTTTTCTACAACCTTGCTAATATTCGCGAGTTTTAAAATCCACTCGCGAGCTGTAATTGATCCATGTAATCACTTTTTGGCATTTTTCCCTATTTTAAGCCGTTGCTGGGAGATTTCTTCAAGTTTAAAATATAGTATCTAGATAAATACTGAATACTGGGTGTACGGCAAACATAATTGGCATACCTAAATCCGCTGTTAAATAAGCTCCACACATCTATAGTTACTGCTGCCTGTGCAAATCAATGTACAACTATGCTCTAACCGTTTATAAATGATGTTTTATGTATGACGAATGGAGGCTCACTCTTGAAACACAGCCATCAAAAATTGGCCGGCTATGTGTAAATTTAACTATTGTAAATTATTGTCAGCCTTTCCAATTGAAAGCACTAAATTGTTATTGACCAAAGTTAAGATACTGAATCGTATATTGAATTGTTGACAATTTAATTGATGGTAAAAAGGACTAAATAAAATTCTTTGCTAATTCTAGGATTAAAATAAAATACATTTTACAATCTTTAAAAACATCACGCACAACGATAAAAAAACCATAAACCTATAATACCACCGATTTCAACTTGAAACGAACAAAATAAGCTTCATCACAATCTATAATTCTACTCTAAAAGTTGCCAGCTCATTTAACCAGATTGGAGAGGAGTAGTCCGATGAAAAGAAAGAAGCCCAGTCCTGAAATACCAGCCACAGTCGGTACCTCGCTCTCGGCTGACAAGGACAAGGCTGACATCACTGTGCCAACTGTAGAGGCTACGTTCAGAACGATGTTATAGAGCTTAGCTGCTTCTTCTCCCAAACCACTCTTCTCCAAGCCCCATTTGTCGTAGAGAGCAAACTTGCTTGGTATGCAAAGATTGAGGTGGCACGCCTCACCAAGCCCCATTAGGATTAATCCTATCAACAATTGGTGGGAAAAATTTAAAAACCTGAAATTACTTGTAGTTGCTCCGAAAGCCACAACTGCACCAGTGTGATACAACACATTTCCAATCATCATTGTGTGGATGATATTGAAATTCCTAAACCTACTTGACAAATAACTCAAAGTTAAAGCAGAAACAAACGAAACAATGCCAAAGATACGCAATAGCGGTACTGCCGAAGTCAGAGAATATGTGCTAGAATAGACTATCCTAGCCGGGAGCACATACCCTATTATTTCAGCTACCACGTTATTCAGGAACAGGACAATGTCTGGAAAGTAAAATGCGACTCTTCGTGTCCAGTTCGAGATAGGTTGGGGACCAGGGGTGAATTTACTTTGCAGCTCCTTTTCTAGCAGCTCCTTTTCATCGCTAGAAACAACTTTCTGTTCGGAGCTTTTCTCAACATTTATGTTTCCTAGCAATGGTAGTAGTAAAAGAGGTAAGATATTAAAGCAAGCTACGCCAATACCAACCAATACCCATCCGCCAGCTACATACAGCTCAGTGCCCAATATTGAAGAGACGATTACCCCGACTTGGATGAAACTGCTTATCAAGATCATCGACTTCTGATCTTCTTTGAGATACAGATCAATTACCTCCCCCTGAAATATATTATAGTAAACAATTTCATTTTAGTGTTTTATATATTATATAGAACCTTAAAAATTAGCATGAAAACAAAATATTTCTACGAAACATTAAAGTAAAAAGAAACCAAACCTGGTTGATAATCGATAAAAGGATAAATCTGCCACTAACCTGAACAAAGACATACATAATGCCCACTGCACACCCTTGGAGCCCCCTCAACAGTGCTATAGTCCCAAATATCACAACAGCTCCACAGCTCCTATCAATAGTAACGTGGATTAAAGACATCAGTGCCGTACTGACCAGATTGAAGATACTGAGCCCGAGGAACCTTCGGAACAGAGATGCATTCCTGATAGTTTTAGGTAGGAAGCTGTAGAGAAAGGGGCCCATTGGGGAGGTGATTAGTGTTGCAGATATGGAAACTGTACCTAGAGGTAAGAGCTGTGAAATTTATAAAGCGGCAATCAGACATTTAAATTTAGAAAAACTTAAAACCTCTAAAATTCTTGTTTTGAAAAATAATTGAACAAAAGAACAAATCAAAGCTCTTACCTATAATTACCTATAATTACCTATAATTACCTATAATCACCTATAATTACCTATAATTACCATAATTACCTATAATGGTGCTGAAGCCAGACTTCGTAACCCAGTCTAAATAGAATCCAGAGGGGTACAATCGGGTAAGAAAGACTATCATCATTCCGAGGCAGGCGAAAACAACAATCGTTATCCTATGCCCTCTTGTTAGTTCTGTAAAGTAAGAACATTCTTAACACACATTATCGAAATGAAATTTTATGATCTGCAGTAACTTAATTTTTTACGGATTGTTTACTAATTATTCATAAAATCTTAGGCCGTAGAATAAGCAGGTTTGCCTTGATTAATTGATTGGGTGAGTTCTGAAGGTCGCAATATACTAAGCATAATATCAGAACAAGCTTGGTGCACTTCAAAATGTATTAAACGATAAACAATATAATATTAATATGTTAAAGACATGCTGTATTTACTATTTACTACTTATCTGCAGTTCAGAGTATATTTAAGGCTGTATTAATTTACTTCTTACCTGAACACGGTGGATCATCTTTCAATCGTTTACATTGTTCTGAAAGTTTACATTGTTCTGAAAGTTTACATTGTTCTGAAAGATCATCTTTCTCTGTAGTCATATCTCTTTGGCTGACTGAACAAACTTAAAAATCCACTAAAAACAAAATGAACAAATAATTGAATAAGTTACTTTAATGGCGTCACGTATGGGGCTTTGGTGCCGTTGAGTTTTTTAGGGCGATCGTTCGATCATCTCAATTCAGGTGAACCGCTCTCAATCTCGTTGACAGTAGACCTACATTAGTGGGTGAGGCTAATTAGTATACGGATTTGCAACAACTTCTGACCTTGAGGCAGCTAGGCACACTTATGGGGCTATTCTTAAACAGTGCAAATCCATATTTATTATCGGACCCTAATGACCTCAGTAAGATTTAAGTTAAAATTATCATGTTATAATCAGCTGCTAAGTGTTAATCTGGACAAACCGTGTTTTTCGAGCATGATTTGCAGCTGAACCGTTTGTGTGCAGCTGATGAATGGCTGCAAGGTTTGCAAATCCGGTCATAATTTGCACGTTGCGGCTAATACTGGTATTAAAGTGTTGGCTCTCTCAGCATATGGAGAGATAAACTTCTTTCTTTGGGATTTATAGTGACCTCATATAAAAGCACAGACCTTGTATTAAAATATGTAGATCAAGTATTCCTGTAATCCTTGCTGTGATATTCTGTCACTCTCTTAGAAGTTTCGTCTTTGTTTGACATACAAGGCATTCCAATGAAACGCAACGATAAAAGATCGAATGAATTTTATCATTCCACGGAAAAAGTTGTTTCAAAATACGCCGAATTTCATTCCTAAGAGAAATGTGTGTTCAATTAAATGTGTGCTCAATTAAATGTGTGCTAACCGTGTCCATCAACAAATAACCAAATTATCCAGATATGTTTGTTCGCGAATTTCGTAGAATTTCACCTCATTATTTAGGGGATAATACCTGTTTAGGGGTCTCGAAAAGTTATAACTATTCTGAAAGTAGATTATTGGAGTATACCCCTACTAGTATAATTAGTACCTACTAATTATGTATTTTTAATTTTGATCCCTTTAAAGAATCATACCCTGAGACCAACAAAAAAATAGCAATCCAAAATAAATGTACCCTCTTTTAACCCTCTAGTATCAGGTAAGTGACCATAACCAGGTACCTCTGGATACATTAACAGCAGATAATTATGCAAAACCAGATATTTTTGCGGGCACTCATTTTCGCGGATTTCTAAAATTAGATCATTTTCGCGCCATCAATTTTTCGCGAATTGAAATGATTCGATGGAGAAATGAGTTAGAGGCACTCAATTTCGCGGCACAAATTGTCCCAAACAATTGCGAAAATAAATTCCCCACCAAAATTAATGGCTTTACAGTAGAAGGGGGTTTCTCTTTGCTGGAATAGCTCAATTTTCACTATTTGTTTGAAAATGGGGGAAAATGAGGGAAAATAGAGGAAAATGGGGTTGGAACCCCCAACAACTAATTATTATTACTTTATCCTCGCAGTTCAGTACACAATGGCAGAGATGGTACCACCAGAAATCAGCTCACAGACAGATTCAGTTACAGTGCCCGGAATGTCACAAGGTATTCGTGAAACTGCAACAGCTAGAGGTGCACCTCAGGTATTACAGGAATTTGTAGTTAATAATACGGAATAAGTTGATAAATAAGTTGATTACTTGTGTTTTGACACTTACACTAAACTTCGGTAAGTCAGAAAATGTACAATTTATATCTCATTTGTTATATAGTACATAGTAATGTTGAAAGTTTTAAAACTAACCTACATATACATTATACATTATATACATCCCAGGTCCCATCTGAAGCTAAAGATATTCAAGTGTCCAGAAGTAGAGTGTGACAAGTCGTTTTGTACACAGCAGCAGTGCAACAACCACGCTCTTATACATTCTGGTACCATTATCATTAATTCTTTGTAGTTAATACAGGGTGGGCCAAAAGTCAGTGGGCATACGTTGGCCTTAATAGCTCAGTCACTGATTGCCCAATTGAAATAATTCTTTCTAGTTTCTGGTATGACTTACTACCACCACTGGTTCGAGGAATTTGTCAAATCGAAAAATATTCGAGATCTTTTCTTTCAAATAAAGGTTCATTTTCGCATTTATTTGATAGTTTGAATAGTCGGATCGAACTAAATTTTATTGAATTGTGTTGGGCCATTCGAATTACGTTTGTCCTTAAAAAATTAGAACTGTAGCTTCTCAGATGACCGAGATATGAAGCATTTAAACGAGTTTATTCATTACGTGTGATCAGGTGATTGGTTTACCTAATCACGTGATTAGGTGAACCCGTTAACCACCCCGTTAAACATTATGGGAATTAAGGTGTCGTGTCACATAATCACCCAGTCAATTTTGTTAACGAGATACAGAAAATGCTTGATAACTTCGTCATTTATGATCTGTTTTGCCTCATCTTTTCAGATCATATGCAACATTTAATACTCTACCGTCTCTGAAAAAATTAGGCGTTCAGCATGTTCAGAGAAAACAGTATAGGTGTTTTAATATTGAATGGGCGTGGTCTAAAATATTCGAATTTTCAAATTTTGACGACGGAATCCTCGAACCAGTAAGTACAGTATGCCATTTGCAAAGCAACAGCTCTCAAATATAAAACATGGTGCAGCTATTAAGGCCAACGTATGCCCACTGACTTTTGGCTCACCCTGTATTTGTACGCATTTTTGTTAGATTAAACGTTTTGGAGTGTTGCGAAATACTTTCAACCATTAGAGAATTAGATCAGCTAAAAATTGTAAACATAATTTCCACAGGAGAGAAGAACTTTGAGTGCACGAAGTGTAGGAAGACGTTTCGAGAGAAGAGTACCCTGAAAAGACATTCTCGCACACATTCACAAATCAAACTCTACCGTTGCGAGGTCAGATGTAAATCTTTATTGAGGTTTTAATTCATCAACTAACATCAACTAACTAATTCATCAACTGTAAACATTTAGGTTGATTAGTAATCCCTCAATCAATCTTGTCACCGAATTCTTTTTTTTTCCCTCAATTGATTGTACCATTCAACTTTCCAGATTTACTGTTTCCAATGTGCAGCGGTGTAGCCCCCCACGTGCAGCGATGTAGCCCCCCTAAATATGACATTCTTTGCAGGTCTGCCACAAGTCATTCTCCTACGCCAGTTCTCTGAGTGTACACCGCAAACATTTCCACGCCAGGTTAATAGCCGGTGTGGAAACTACTTCTGAAACCGGAAAATCTACTCAAACTGAGGTTTTAAGCGAGACTGAAGTTTTAACACGATCAGTTTCGGAGAAGGCGGATAATGAAATGGTTAGTTCCAGTGTTGTAAATAATGAGAGTCAGCGAGATAAACAACAAAAGTCAAAATCCAAGGTCGGTGGGCAAACTGTTGCTACCCAAACTGATTCTTCCATTCGAACAGTGTGTACGGATTCTGACGGAATAGACAAGGAAAATGAACACGATAATGAACCAGAAAGTGCTAAATCATGTTCCTAATTATAATTAGATTTATCATTGAAGGTTTTTGCTTTTTGTGTACGTTTTAAGATCAATAGTATCTACTTACTTTAGGATACATTATTCATAGCAAATGGTGTGACCAATACAAATGTTTTATGGTCACAAGTTGGACTCTTCGTTCTATTCCAGTATTTCCTCGTTGACATATTCGGAACGAAATCGATTTTGTCAATATCTTCAAACTTTAAAAGAGAGAAAGACGAGGTTTGAAGAATAATACATCTTGTATTTAAATTAGAAAATGTTTCTTGTTGTTCCCAATTATATTCTGGAGATCAAAGATACAGTTTTATTGTCCAGGTCACAATGACTCAAATCACAAAGCATAAAAACAGAACGCTCGATCTCCGGCCTCCCAAAACTTAACAACAGTAGAAAGTCCTTAAGATGGTCGCTTTGATTTTAGCATGTTCTGTAGCGCGCGGATACCTTTATGTGATAAATTTTCATTGTTGTTGGTTTTGATCACAACATCACATGTGCAGTGGTCGTGGTGTAACGGCAGTATCTGCACTTGATAGTATTAACCAAGCGGGTTCGAATCTACCCAGTGCCACCTTCCTTAGGGGTTACCTGGGGACCTCAGGCTATTATATTTATGTTCAGAGATTCGGCGGAATGACAGGCTGAGCGCGGCCCATTAACCTTAGGGGTCTTCACATATTACGTAATCAGCTGAGGGGGGGGGGGGTTTCCGAATGATTACGCTAGTGTAATTTTGACACAATAGGTATGTGTCAAACTGATTACGAAGGGGGGTTGTTCCCAAAAATGATTACGTAATATGTGAACGACCCCTTATTGCCACAAGTAGCCACTAAATCAGTCACCCAATTTTTTTAAACCTTGTGACTTTGAAACGTCGTTTATCCTAACAGTGCAATATCATTTGTCGCAAATCAGAATAATCAGAAACTATTTGGAAAAACCCAAAAACTGTCTTGTGAAAAGACCTTGAGGTTATATAGTATGAAAATGACCAACATCGAATTATTTTGAACGCTGATTCCGAATCGGCGAATCACTCATAATAGGGTTGGGGTTTTGGTTTAATTTATGTAAAATCTCTTTTTTTCCCCGGCTACATAACCGTAAAAACTCAAGTCAAGCGATACTTTTTGGGCGAGCGAAATAATAAGAACCCACAAATACAAAATAGTGATGCTGGAGATCCTCTAATTTGGGGGCAAAAAGTCGCCGGAAGGAACCATCATATCATATATAACTTTACCGAGCTTTCTTCAGTCTTCTACTGCTAGAAATTTTTGCCAAAAGCCATAAATGCCAACACTATATAGTGACAAGCACTTTATAGTGACATGTCACTATATAGTCCTGTCACTATAAAGTTGAAAGTGCGTTTTGCACACTATATAGTGACATGTGAGACGGCTGCAAATTTACCTAAAAGGATGTGACCCATGTCTTCAGATGGTAAGGTCGCGTAACATTGAACGTGCTACAGATCATAACTAGCTGATCCGTCATCTCAAATATTTTATGGCAAGCTGTAGAAAGGTTGTGACCCAAGTACTCATGTGGAAACATGAGTACTTGTTGGAGCTCGTAATTGGAGTCGTTGAAGGACAAGCTATATCAATCATGGCTACTCCCTCTGTTGAATACACTACTGGTAAACTAGGAAAGGACAACGCTCTCGCGGATGGTCAACGCTATAACACCTTAAACAGAAAGAGGAACGGTTAACTGATGGAGTCACGAAGACCTACAGGACCTGTGTAAGTGTTGTTCGTGGCTGTCTGGCTCAACTGCAAACTGGTGCTTCATGAACAGACAGTAAAAAACTCTCCGAACCACAACCACGATGAACAAAGAGCAGAGATCTTGGTCGACCGCTCTAAGAAGACGATGAAGGAACGTGCAGCGACATCGGACACATCAAGGAAAAGTCGATATAAGATAAACTTGTCACTATATGTTTCTGTCACTATATAGTGCGTTTTGCACACTATATGGTGACAAAGATCAGCTGTCATTATAAAGTGCTTGTCACTATATAGTGTTGTCACTATATAGTGCGATTACCATAAATGCCATTACTGATTACACAATACACATTGTCATTAGGAAAACAATAACCTAGCTGTCCATCACAATGCTGGCAAGCATTACCGTCGCCCTTATATTCACAACACTATTTACCCCCTATACGATTATATCCCCTTTATTGTTTTCCAGGCATTAAGACTCATCGAAAGTAGTTCAGCAGGTACATTTAAGTTCAAAACATTCTAATTCAATGTTGAAGATGACAGGAATAAGAAATAGTTGTATGGAGGTTTTTGCGGGAAATTTGCGCAAAATACGCGCCAGCATGTTATACGAAATTAGGTAAAAAACCCAAAATCGCCATATTCAGGTGCCTTAAAAACCATGTTAAAATTGAGTTAGAGATCTGAAACTTTGCAGGGCGTCTAGACCTTGTCCAAATCGACTGTAAAAAAAAAGTCATGTTTCAGGAGTATCGGGAAGTGGGTTTTCTGGAACCCCTGTTTTACAACAGATTGTCGTGAAGATATATATGTATGTATAGACGCTTTTTGCAGTCAATTGTAGCCTACATTTAAGTGTCCGTAGATTCAAAAGTATAAACGATACAGTCATTTCGAACCACAGGTTTTAAAGATAATTGTTTAAGCTTTAGTTTACATTGTATTGAAAAATAATTTAACGTCATCATCATCACTTGATGACGTCATCAAGTTAAGTGTTTTTAAAACTTGACTTTTGACAAAGTAACAACTTTTTAAATCGATTTTACACTATTAAGGAGTAATTTTATTCAAAATCTGAGGACATTTTCATCTTAGATAATTGTTCAAGCATTCCGAAAATCTACCGGAATAGTTTCCTACCTTGCTCCTTCATAAAGATATTTGCTATTGAAGTTAGTGCTTTTTTGAAGAATAATTTTATAAAAACACAAAAGTTGTGAATTAGTATTCTCTGGTGTTGGGCCATCCCTTGGGTTGTGGAGCTCAATTTTGCTTCTTAAAGGTGTAAATTGTGTTATAGGCTAGTTTTAAAGTTAAAAATCGAAAAGTTGCACACGTGGGGACACGCCCAAATTCATTTAAAATCGCTAAAATCGCTAAAAATTTTGATTTTCACGATTTTTATCAACTTTGGAGTCCCGCTGTGATCCAAGTTCTTTTTGAAATCTTCTGAAACTTTGCATGCTTATCAAACTATATATTAAATACCACTATGCAAAAATTTACGGTGATTCAATATTGTATGCGCACGCGACGTCCGCTCAAAGTTTGCACGTGCGAAAGGTGAGAAATTTGCTCATTCGTGATTTCGAATATATTCTGCTTTCCACGATATTTAAATGGCATTATATATGAATTTAATGCCAACTTGAATGAGTAAAAAGTGCCATATTCAGTCGGTTATCGACAGAAATACCTAACTAAACACAAGGAAACGTTTTCAAAGGCAGAATTTCGAAATCGTCGAAATTACCTCCTTGTTAATGAAGTTTCGACTAGCTGTGTAAATTATCCTGACATTATAATCAAAAAGAGATGATATTTGACCAAAACCCATAATCATGGGTAGAGTGTACCGCTGCCAGTGTCTCTCTTTTCCAAACAAAAGGAAATGATATTAATTTGAGGAACAGTCCGCTAATGCAAATTGATACCGAGAATGAAATCGGTCGCTCGCTTTTTCCATTCGATCACGGCTTACGAATTGTAATAAAGCTTATTGATTTGAAAAAGCGAGCGACCGATTTCATTCTCGGTATCAATTTGCATTAGCGGACTGTTCCTCAAATTAATATCATTTCCTTTTGTTTGGAAAAGAGAGACACTGGCAGCGGTACACTCTACCCATGATTATGGGTTTTGGTCAAATCACTTATATTCTTTTTAATAAACCCTTCCTCAAGTTCCCGTCTTGAACATTGAAGAAATTTACAATTTAGATTTGCATCGGGAAAAAATGAAATATTATAAATTTTTTGTTGTTCATGCCGCAGAGTGAAATTTCAGTTTCACCCGCAACAACAAACAACAACAACAATGTAAAAAAGCTTGTTTTCTCAAATTCTTTTTTAATTGACGATGTCAATTTCGCAGCTCGGCTAGGCCCAGTGGCCAGTCTAGTAGCGCATCTCGCCGATCTATTTTTCACAGAAAGATTCTTAATTTAATAATGTCTTGGCACCAAGGCAGCGACCTCGCTGTCCGGGTGTGGGGTGGTCAGCAACTCTGATGACCCGATAGAAGCACACCAAAGTAAGTAACAAGTAAATGATGGCTCATTGTTTCGCTCGCCTTAAAATTATCACGTCAATTTGTTTTTTTACGGTTTTGCAGCCGAACAATACGGTTTCAGTACACTTACAGTAAAGGAAATGCCCGTAACCAGAACTGCTCCCACCAAACCAATGCCGTAGCATTTATTATACAAGAATACGTTACTGAACCTTCCTGCCTTTCTGAGGGACAACACACTTCCACCTCCCACCATTGATGAGAAGTTGTTTAACTTGATGATAGGAAACCTGGATCATATTAATTCCAACCCTTCCATCAATTCCAACAAAGAAACTGGACAGGTATGTGGGCTGATTCTACTGGGATATTAATATTATCATTATCAATAAGAAAATATCTGATTCACATTTTTTTATAGAGGAATAGGCAATGTTTACTTTTTTTTACGGTTTTGCAGCCAAATTGAACAATACGGTTTCAGTTTTACATAAACTGTCCTAACCCTAACCCTAACCGAGTAACCACAACCTGAAGCTAGCCATAACCCTAACAGTAACAACAACACTAATTTAACCCCAAACAATTGGATATGTGGTTTACTGAACTGCCAAATCATTTTTGCTCATACAACTCCTCAAGACAGTATTTTTACACTAAGTCGTGGATTCGGAATTATCGCCAAAACTAAAAACACATCGTATCAATTAAGTGTAACTCATACTAATAGAGTAAAACTTTCATGCCCTCAGGGCCTTTTCACACGATTTAAAAAAATTTGGGCGAGCAATTTGGTGGAAGTGGTTGAGGGGTCGTTCACATATTACGTTATCACTTTTTGGACAATTTTTAACCCCCCCCCCCTCCCCCTCCATAATCAGTTTTACACATAGCTATTGCCTATTGTGTCAAAATTACACTAGTGTTATCATTTGGAAACCCCCTCCCCCCTCGGCTGATTACGTAATATGTGAACGACCCCTTATTCTCTTCAATTTGCAATTTGGTAGCTCCTGGATAATCAGGAGTTTGATTTTTTAACTTCGTGGTACTAGTTTCCATATCTTTTTTATAAGGATCATTCACATATTAGGGGAAAGGGTTTGGATAATTTTACGTTGGTGCAATGTCTACACAAAAACCATGAAAAATAACGAGTATCTGTCTTTACTGTATTAAACTTTAATTTACAGTAATTTTAAGACAATATGTATTTTAATTTTGTTTCCTGAATAAAACTGTTCCTTCGAGTCATAATTTGAATCATCAATTACTTATAAGAATCACAACCAAGAAATAATTTAGATATCCCCACGGACCTGATAAATCGAATTAATTATTTTTCTGTTTTGTTAACAAACACAACGAAAAAGTGTTAGATACGGCGGGTTAATCAATACCAGCATAAACTTTTTATTATTGATCCCACACAGAAATAGGAAGACTGTTTCATGCTTCACGTTCAACGGAGATTTGATCGAGAACCGTAATTTAAGATAATCGGATGGAAATGTTTAAAGTATCATAGAAAGATAGAAGACGCTGAAATAACATCAATAAAGACGATGGAGTTGTGTTGATTTTGAGCATGGACTTCCTGCCCTTTCAGTTTCAAACGACAAAATAGTTACATTCCCTGATGATCTTCTAAGGTACATAGTTCAGGGTCGTACATATTCAATATTCATATATGAGGGACCACATGCAAAACTGGTATATCTGTTTTTGATAGTTTTGAGATAAATGTATTTTACTGATTTAAAAGATTCTATATCATGTGTAAAAAGCACTTCTAAAAATGGTATATCTGTCTATATACCATTTTAAAAACTAGAATTGTACTTAAACTGGTATATCTCACGATATACCATTTTTTCTATACTATAAACAATAAAATAATTTAACTGAGAATGGTATATCTGAAGATATACCATTTGGAGTGGCTAAAGTCTATAAAATGTGTATAGATATACCGGTTTTATAGAAAATAAGTTTCTTGAAGGTGGTATATCTGCAGATATACCATTTTGTTTTCATGATTGTTAAAAGCTAAAATGGTACATTGTAACATATACCAGTTTTGGAAAAATAAAATTTCACTTTTTTTCAAAAATTTCTTCAAAATTGTTCAAAAAAAGTTCCAAAGATGCACCTTTTCACCCTGAAGACTATGTGCTACCTGTGCAAAATTGGTATATGTTCAGATATACCAGTTTTGCATGTGGTCCCTCATATATATATATATAATACCGAATACCGACACCATCTTATGCCAGTTTTACACTGTGCTGACCGGGGTTCTCTTTAAGCGATCTTATCAACTTTGATAATAAAATTAGGAGCATTATTTTTTGATAAACCAAGAGGGTCACGAACAGTTTAGTGTTGCTATTAACATCATTTGAGTACCGTATCCGTGAGTTGCAACAGTTTTTGCACTCGAGAGAATATATAATAGCACGATACAGCACGAACACAACTCCATGGTCCATCTAATTTTTGTATTTAATTGTTACTGAACATTATGTTCACGTACGTATAATCCATTATAATATTCTTCTACTGCACTCACTCTCCCTGGGCCACCTAAAATCAATGTTTAGCACATTCTCCACTTACAAGTATTTAAGTGTAAATGATCCGATTCAAATCCAGGTAGCTTCTTATACGGACGAATATATTACAGATAATATGATTATTTGATCGATCACGCCAAATCAGGTTAGTAACCTGATTTGGCAGTCAATAACCGGCTGGCTCTGGGAGGATAGTGCGGTAAAAGCTTAACCTAAATCGGAGGGTATCTGTGTTTACAGACAAATATATGTACAATCTCCATGATATCGCTAAAATTATTCCTTAAAAAGTAAAACCTTGTCTGTGTTTACAGGTTGCTATGTCAACGCGTCAACCTCATCGGGTTTGGATAAAATCAGTATCCAGTCGCGACAACAATATAAGCTAACGTCTTAGCAGTTCAATAGATAAAAAATAAATAAAAATCTGAATCGTTGATTATTTGGTTAAAAATCTGACGCCTTTCAGCTTTAATGGGAGCACGGGTTACCATGCGTACAGTTTCAGGAAAACTTCCTGTACATCGCAAATCACTTTAATCTCTTTAAACCCAGTGATAGTTTCAGTCTTAGCAGAACATTACGAGACGGTTTGACAGTAGTTGCTTGGTCGTGATTGATGTGAATAATTGATATATCGTCCTCAAGCGCGTCGCTAAACACATTCTCTCCGGTTGGGTTCATGGTGTATGTGTACATGGCGTCTTTTCTTCGTCTCTCCACCAGGACACACACTGAAATAATTACCCGGTCACACTTTGGACTCCGCGGAGGTTCCGCAATCAGGTATGTATCATGGTAAATCAGGGATGTTTGGCAAAAAATGTGAGGTATGCAAGTTGTGTATTTATCAATTGATTACTAACTTATAGTTAGTCGTGTATGGTAGTTAAGGGTAATGGAATGGAATGATTCCAGTCTAATTTCCTCAGTTCATCATTAATCACGTCAGAAAAGTTTGTATATGTTAAAATTCAAATAACACGCGTGAAATTACTAAATTACATTTATTTACCTACACGTCCAGTATTTAAACAACATGTGACAAATTAAGAAGTATACCGGAAGAATTTGGCACACAATTTGTCGCATTTTGTTGAAGAAATGTAAGAAACTTGCAAGAAACTTTCAATCTGTGTTGTAATAACTAAAACATATTTGGAAAAGCTGAGATGAACAAAATCAGGACCAGTCGAAATTCTGCTGCAGTGCAGAGGCGGTCTACTTATTCAGTAGACGCACAAACACAATATTTGCATAAAGGGCTGCATGCAACTGTATATTTATGATAGCTTGACAATTCATAAATGGCGTCTATTGAAGGTACAGGGTTTTTCAAAAGTATCAACTTTCTTCAGATATATTTACGCATCATGAAGTATATTTTTCCTAGACAGCCTCACCCCTTTTCAAACTTTTCAATGCAAAATATCAGGTAAAGCCTAGAATCCTCCGTGTACAGGACATAGCCTAATGACGTTGATGTTGTCCAAGGTAATTATTGTTGGCTATTATGACCATTGACCGAGCTTGTCTGAGTCACATTGACGTCTGACATAAAGATCGATTGATTCAGCGGCAAACCGATTAACGATAAGCGCCCAGACAGGAGTATAGGGTTTTTACTAGGATAATAGCCTATCAGTATTATATTCTCCTCTTAACTCGGTCATATTGTAAAGAATGGCGACTAACAGAGAGATATTGTAGGCACTTAAATAATTTTAAAAGCAGCGATCATGCTAACCGATCTTGTCGGTAGCAAAAAGGATATAACAGCAAAGTTCGGATAAAAATGTAAAAAATATCCATACCCATGACTCCGATGACGACTAAGATGAAGGCTAAGATGGTAACAATTGTGATTTCCCTGGCACAGAACGACTCCGTCTCAACAGGAACACTGATCAGTGGAGTATTGCTGTTCCTGGAGTTAATACCCCATATCTTTAGGTTGTACCTCTTTCCTTCTTTGAGGTACTTCACTACGTTTACACCCAGCGATACTGAGGAGTAATCATTTAAAAAGGGCGCGTAATATATTTGAACTACACTTGAATGGTATGCATTATTTTATGTGGATTTATAAAATGATTTGATTTGAAACTTTTAACAAATTATACAGAAATTTACAACATGGAAACTTAAAGTCAAATGGCAACGAAGGATTTTTAAGCTGGGAAAATATTCGGACTGGTTAAGGCACAAGTAAGCAGAATTTGACTGTAATATATGATTGGGGACACCAGTAACATCCATGTTAGAACACATGTGCTCTGGACTCTTACTCTGGCCCCCTGAAACAATCAGCACGGATAAGCTAACAGTTGTATGGCCAGTTGTTAGCAGGAGACGGTAGAAAAGAATAAAATTGGTGTCATTGCGAACCAATTCGATTAGCACCAAGTGTAGATTTGGTTATTGAATTAATCAGATGGCCCATAAGTGGAGGTACTAAGCAGCATTTAAAAACTTACAATATCCTGTAAGGTGAACTGTTGGCGATGTAGTGTTAGATCAATCTAATATACTTGAAGTGGAGGTACTAATCCTCCCTGAATTTATTCCCTTTATTTATAAGCATCGGGAAATTTGGGTTGGAAAAGGAGCATTAAAAACTTACGATTTCCTGTGAAGAGAACTTCTGGCAATGTAGTGTTGTCTTCAGTGTACTTGAGCACGCCATACCTGCATACATTGAAATCAGATATATTAATGTACTTTATATACTCCACTAGATAAGAAATACATACACATTTCTTCAAACTCTATATAAAACGTTGTCATATGTCAGAAGAACAAACCTTCGGCTTGATTTTAATCATCCTGCAAGACATAATCGAATTCAAGAAATTAGAGATTGGTAGGAATAACTTAATAACTAACTCCTTACCTATATTTGCTGTATGTTACTGTGTCCTCGTTAGACATATTTACCTTCAGTTCTCTGCAGCCAGACTGAAGAAGAGAGGGAGTCAGTGTCCTATTTCAGATTGTCTATATTTATGAAGTAAGTGGGTTTATAAACTTATGGGCTAGAGAGAGCTGTGTTAATATTTCATGATAAGAAAAATCATATCAGATTTGTTCAATTGTGAAAGGGGCTTGAAACTTCAAGATCCATAAATCTCGAAGTGTTCTAGTATAATTAGAAAAAATAAAAATCGTGCCGCAACATTTTGTACATGAGATTTTTCGTTCATATAAAAGTTTCGTAGATTTCATCAACTTTCGCGTTTCTTTAGCCAATGAATGTATAGCATGGTGAGTTGACCAAGCATCAAGCTAGATTGCCGTCACCATTTAGGCCTTATTAGCCAAAGGGGAAGTTTCCAACTAGTATTGTGTGGGTAAACAACTTTTTATTTTTATAGAGCCTGTTGATTTGTATACCACATACAGGGCATTGCCTGACAATTCAGTGACCCTCTGCAAAGTGTTATCTTCAGTGTTCTCCAAAATAGTAACCCTGCACCATAATGCCTCAATACATCTCATAGTTCTCAAATGGACACTGTTTTTTAGGGGGGGATGCAACGTCAATTAATGTCAATTAATGTCAATTAATGTCAATTAATGTCAATTAATGTCAATTAATGTCAATTAATGTCAATTAATGTCAATTAATGTCAATTAATGTCAATGTCAGTTTTGCAAAATTTTGGAATACTGACATTAATTGACACGATATTTTTCGACCAGAGATTATGTAGTTCTATCATATTTTTAGCACTTTAGAACGTTTATATCATCAATTTATTCGCTACTATCACATATGGAAATGTGAAATGTGAAAAAAATTCAGATCATTAAACAATAAAACTAAAATAATACGGTTTTCCTAAATTTGATTTTCTTAAATGGGCGTGGCCATCCAAGGGCGTGGTTCTCAACATCATCAGAACTTAAAACCCACATTAAACGAAATGCCTTCATGACATTTATATTTGAATAACGAATCTTAAACAGCTAACATTACTCCTTCATACTAAAAAAGCCGATTCTAGATATTTTACCTGTATAAGAAACCAATAAAATATGGGCGTGGCCGGTGGGGACCGAAGATGGAAGAGTTGGAAGCTGAAATTTTTTTTGGTGGTCTTTGAACTTAAGGATCAACAGATAAGAACATACTCATAATTATTCAAGGACATTTTGTTTTTTTGAACCGGTCTAACTACATAGATGTGAATATCTTGAATATTTATCGAATAATGATAATCTCAAATTTCAAGACAAATTAATGTCAATTAATGTCAATTAATGTCAATTAATGTCAATTAATGTCAATTAATGTCAATTAATGTCAATTAATGTCAATTAATGTCAATTAATGTCAATGTCAGTTTGGGGTTTTTATGGAATACTGACATTAATTGACGTTGCATCCCCCCCGTTTTTTATTGGGGACCAGCTTTGCTGACTGGCCAATGTTTACTTCAAATATATGATATATATTATTATAGATACAAAATGAACGTAAAAAGTAGCACAAAATACTTAATAACTCCTAATCTCTATGTCTCTATATGACTGCTAAATGATAAATGTGATCATAAATCAGGTAATATGTTAAAAGATAAAATATAAGTTATTATGAACACTGTCATTGAGATGAATGTTAACTAGATGTGCAAGTTAGAAATTAACTATGCTAAATAGGCTCTCGAGAATTGTTTAATCCTGTATGATCACTTAAAAAAGCAAAAAACTGAACGTCAAAACATGTTGCAAACACTCAAGCTAGCAACAATCAACTAAAACCAATTAATTCGCCACAAAATATATTTGACCCATACTATCCCTCGGCCTTAGTTTCAATCTTATCCTGCAAAGTATTTTACCAGCCTTTATGAAAAACACTTTGTCCTTCTCTTCTGCCGCTCTGTCCTTCATTTCCTTGACTATAAGTCTCTTGTAATCTGGCGTGTTTTAGGAGACCGATCTGGACAGACGAAAACAGTTTTAAACTTTTCTGTTATCCTCAGATTCTTAGCGTTGGCAACAAGCTGATCAACAACAATTGAGCTTGATACTTTCACTTTAACAGGCCGGGCGTTAACTGAATTGTCCTTCGATTTCCTACCAATTCTGCACGCTTCAACGATCTTTCTTCGGTTTCTGTCCAATGTTTTGGAAAACCTCGATAACTGTGTCAACAAGTTCGCTATCGCTCCCTTCGGACAGACCAAATACAACGAAGTTGCGACTGCGGTCCTCTTCCTCAACAACACGTTTGACTACGCTTTTAAGCGTTTCCGAGCCGATGACCTGCTCAGTTGGCTGTGAATTCTTCACTATTGAGCTGTACGTTTGAAATTCGGTTTTTTCAACAGATGTCTTAACGGTGTTCTTCAATGTGTCAAGTTGTTCAGTCTTCTCAGTCTTACAGTTCGAAAGCTCTGCCTGAACACTGATCAACTGTTTCTGACTCTCTAATCTCTATGAGATTGCTCTGCATTAAAATGAACTCGTTCCACAATTTCTTGACAAGGTCTATAATAAACGTATCATTGATCTGAAACGAATCATTTAGATAACGGACTACATCAGGCTTGGTCAACTAGTTAATGTCCCACCATTTATCGCAACAATTTCGACATAAGGTTTCTTCAACTCCATTCTGAAATCTTTGCTGAAATTTTTGCTGAAATCTTTGCTTATTATGATGAAATCTTGGCTGAAATCTTGGCTGAAATCTTTGCTATAATATGATGATGCGTTATAACGTATATGGATACGTTATAACGTATCCATCAACAACACATCAATATCGTTAAGTAATTCACTTTGCATTACAAGGTGAGGCTGTAGCGGTTAAAACAAGCCGTGTTGGATATTAATTAACAAAGATAAGCTAAGCGATAACAGAGCTACAATTTAGCAACGAATGTAAAAGTGTAATATCTGTGTAATATCTGTTGTTTACTGTTTGTTTGGGGACCGGTTTTTTGTACTGTACCTCAACATGACATTAAAAGTGAGACAGGGACACGTTATATTTCAAGATAAAAATGTAACTCTGTCCTCTGTAGTCTATCACTTAAAAGAGTTACAAATTGTAACTAACAATATCTCACGTTTCAAGTGTTTTATATGAAGTGACAATAACTCAAACTACAAAAGACGTTACAAAATAACAATAAATCACATTTAAAATTAAAAAGAATAACTCACATCGAGCAGCTCGACTCGTGGCTTGTTGGGCCGGTACGGGACTGTGACCAGTATTTCATGATGAAGAGAACACCCAGCCGGATTACACAGCCTCATCTGTCCGTACCTCATGATCTGTGCTTCAGGCAGCAACTCATCCACTACAAAGTAAGTCCGTCCGCTTATCTTGTAAGTATCAATACCTCGTGTTATCTCGAATGTTAGTGTGTCGCTCCCCCATGATACTCGCTCTGGTGCTGTCCACCAAATCCTGGAGCGAGGGGCGGGGTTAATACAAGGAAACTTGTAATATTAAGGTGAGGCAATGTAGGATAATATTTATAGAATGTAGATTGTAGATATGAAGATAACTTAAATATGGATAAGAAGATTAAATTTATAGATATGAAGATCACATGTACAGATATGTTAAGTTAAGTCAACAAAATTACTTTCAGTAAACAGCAAGTCAAGCAAGTGGTGATCGCAAGATATGTGAGTTTTGGCGTTAAAATGAGGTTGTTAATTGTTTCACAACTTCTAATGAACCATAAATACCTGAGTTTATCGTTCTGGTAGTATGAAGCGTTGTATTGCATAGACAATGTCGATTGTGCTTTCGGAGGAACCTCCCACGTTTTGAAGTCGGAAACCTAAAATTCGATAATATCATTAATATTTTGAGATTTTCACCTTTGAAGATGTATAAAATAAAGCGTTTTAGAGATAATCGTAACCGTAACAGCCCGCTACATTTTCTCCAGTTTTCTTAGAAGTCGCTGATTTGCCTAAATGGTTAGCCTAAGGGTTAATTGTAACCGTGCCAAAATACCGAACGATAGCCATTATATATACTATATAGGAGTATGTAATTAGTTATATTTATGTGCATAATTAGCACTGCACCGGCGTGTGTTATGTATTTTCAGATCTCTTAAAAAATTTGAATGGATAATTACCAATTCTAAGTGCTAAACTAATGCACATTGTTTATCTGCCTTATTCAATGGTTTAAGTCTTTTCTTAAAGTGAAAGACTTAAGACATAAACATCATTCATTACATGAGGGTAGATGACATGTCACGAACGAAAAACTGTCGGAAAAAACTTCATTTTATGTGAATAATAATGTATCGCACAATGAAATTAATAAAGTTGCATCAAAATATGAATATGGAGATTAATAAGAAGCTTCGCTAACTCAGCTGGTGTAAATAATAATCAGTACTGATTAATTTATACGATCTATAATACAGATAATGACACATAATAATTAATAATCATAACAAAGTATATTCTCATTATATGTATCTTCAGAGAACAGCTCAGAATTGAATTGAGCCAAATTCCATTGTATAATGACTGGTCTCTGTCCACTAAACACATTAATGGTATTGGTAACAGAATTACAGGGAACAGAGTGATACTTTACAGCATTACCGTGCGTGCTTCACATATTTTCATGGGGCATATTTCACATATTTTCATGGCACGGCGTAACTATGGCGCGGTGTATCCCCTACCACGTTGCTAAGTGCTGTTAGAACCGGAAATCGAGCTACTTTATAGAGCAAGAGAATAGTTTAACATCACAGAAATATGGAAAACATTGAAAATGAACCCACTTCTTTATTCTCGGCCAAGACAGAGCCGGAAGATTTGGTGACGGTGATACTGTAGCAACACCCGGGTGTCAGGCTGGTGATGTTGGAGAGGTTCTGGGCGGAGGTCAGGAGAACAGTCACACTTTCACCACCACACTCTCTATCACCTGCGATATTATGGGTGTCACTTGTTATGTTCTGGGTATCACTCGTCCTGTTCAGTGTGTCATTTGTTGTGTTCTGGGTGTCACTTGTTGTGTTCAGGGTCTTACATTACCAGATATCATTTAGACGGTCGTGATCATTTTGATCTCTGAAGCTCTATAAGTTTGCATGATTAGGGTAGACCTTTTTTAGTCCAACCAAGGGTCATTAGAATTGGTATTGGTTTTAACATAAGAGAGCACTTTATATAGGCACAGGAAATGTTTAGGCCTTAGGGCGCTAGAGATACACTCATTATATCAAACAAACGATTTATATATTTCAGTAGTCAGGGAGGCAGGTATACCGAGTAAAGACTTAACTAAAGGCGAGGAAACGATACAAATCTGCTTTGAAATTGAAGCGCATAACCGCTCTTAATAGCCGATTATAGGCCAGTACACACCGAACGTACCCGGGTGACAGGGGTAGGGTTGTACGACCAAATCCTGTTGCGTTGTGATTTTGTCGTTTACAGACGACCAGCTGACCAGCAGTGAGGTGGTAGTCCTGGATTGGAGGGACACTTCGGCCTCCGTACAGCTAAACTTATCAACACCTGTAGGAGGAGAATTGGGGTTTAGCAAATAAGGAACGGATATCCGACTGTACGTGAAATTTGATTGATGAGGGTGGATACTGGATAGTGGATAATGGTCTGGGTACTGATATTGATTAAAAAAAGGTGAAACACATTTCATGAGTTTATGTCCATATACTTACATACAATCATTTTAACTTTCATGGAAACCTGTACACGACATAATGTTATGTAGTTGTTAACCGTTTGTACAGCATGTGTTTTTACAAGAGTTTTTGTAGATTTACCTACGACAGATGTATGTGCAGACAGGGATATCTGTCCAGCTATGTCTGTTATTTTACAGTAATAGTCTCCTATATCTGCCCTCATCAGACAGTCCTGCAAGTCATATCGATCAGTAATATTAAGCGATTATTAGGTTATTATAAACGTTTATAAATTAGGTTATTATAAATAAAGAAGCTTCAGAGATACTGGCAGTTGTTACTGTCCATGTTGTTGTTAACTAACTAGTTGTTTAAAAAACTAACTAATTATTAAAATAGTATCACAAGAGACTGAGAGTTAAATTTATTGACTAGACTACCAAAGAAGTAGTCTGTCTGATTAAATCTGCAAACCTTATTTATTGAAAATAATATTCTGTCATTTTTTCTGTCTACTATTTTAGTGACGGAGGTTCGTTTATCCGGTATGATCTCCTTGTTGTTTTTGTAGCAACTAAAATAAGATCATACTTTAAGCTGTAACTGTGGATATAAAAATGCCAGAAAAATCCCAACCTTCGAGAAGCAGTAGAAATATATAATTGATCTGTATTTAAAACATTTAAAATATTTAAAATATTTTTAAAAAGGGACCACCCACGCCCTGTAGGAATAATACTTACTATCAAAATATCATTTTAAAACTGTCTCGAACATTCCATTTAAAGACAAAATGCAAATATGAAAACTCACGTCCAATCTCTCATGTCTCCATGATCTATATCTTTTCTACTTGTGTAGAATTGAATTCTTGTGGTATTCTGAGTGAGTGTAACCACTTCTTCTAACCTTGATAGCTTGATATCTGGGGAAGAGTGACATAATTAGCCTGATTAATTACCATATCGTGAGAGGGAAAATTTACATATTATTAGATTAGAATTTGCATATAATCAGATTAAAATTTCGAGGAATGATTACCGTAACGGGGAACGAAGAGAGTAATTTAAATTAAATTTGGATCGAATTAAAGCTATTTTTTATACTCTACCTGGTACAAATTTGAGGTTGTTGACAGCGATAGCCAAGAACTTTGAAATGTTCACATGAACAGAAAAACAGTTTGTAGAAAGCTCTTCACCAGCTTCTATATTAGTGCAGTCCATCGGCCGGATGTCGACAGCCGTACTGCCCAATTCTTCGCTCGAACTGGAGTGAGAGATTTGTTTAGTTCTGTCATCAATAAAATGCCGGAAGCTTAAAAAAAGAGAAAATATCTACTTCAACTCTGATATAGAGTGTGATTTGATGTAATTAAATATATAAAATTATCTTAAAATCCCTGTGATAAATCAATCCCAGCATAAACATTAACATTTCATGATTGTACCTATTTTTGAGACATTCGAACATGCAAATTCCAAATTCATTCGTGCCATAGGAACCATCGACATCATCCCCTGGGTATTATTACCATATAAGGGCACCGTGTAGGTATTTACACTGGGTATTTACATTTTACACTCGGGAATGTTGGGTATTTACACTCGGGAATGTTGGGTATTTACATTTTACACTCGGGAATGTTGGGTATTTACACTCGGGAATGTTGGGTATTTACACTCGGGAATGTTGGGTATTTACACTCGGGAATGTTGGGTATTTACACTCGGGAATGTTGGGTATTTACACTCGGGAATGTTGGGTATTAACACTCGGGAATGTTGGGTATTTACACTCGGGAATGTTGGGTATTAACACTCGGGAATGTTGGGTATTAACACTCGGGAATGTTGGGTATTAACACTCGGGAATGTTAGGTATTTACACTCGGGAATGTTGGGTATTAACACTCGGGAATGTTGGGTATTTACACTCGGGAATGTTGGGTATTTACACTCGGGAATGTTGGGTATTTACACTCGGGAATGTTGGGTATTTACACTCGGGAATGTTGGGTATTTACACTCGGGAATGTTGGGTATTTACACTCGGGAATGTTGGGTATTAACACTCGGGAATGTTGGGTATTTACACTCGGGAATGTTGGGTATTAACACTCGGGAATGTTGGGTATTAACACTCGGGAATGTTAGGTATTTACACTCGGGAATGTTGGGTATTAACACTCGGGAATGTTGGGTATTTACACTCGGGAATGTCAATCGCAACATAAACAGATAAAACTGTTTTATCTTGGTAGAACGTGTTAGACCTCTATTTTATCATCTCTGCAACGTTGTAAGGGTAAACGGGGACCTCTATTCTACGCGACCTTTTATTTCACATAAAATATAATTCTTAAGTTTGGAGAAAAGCACCAAATCACATTAAATTTTCAAATGACAATTAAATTTCGGCCGAAATTTGGTTCGCTTAACTATAACATTAACCGCGTAAAATAGAGGTCTAACTTTATTTTTAGCAAATAAAAGAGATAACAATTAATTTTAATTTGACGAACAGCTGCATTCGCTTAATATAATTTCTTATTATGTATATCCCCTGATAAGGAGAACTCCAAAAAGTCACAAAGAGGCAAGAACTATACCATCACGGTGTATCATGCATGATATTTGGGTAAGACCGAACAATTGCTGTCCGACCTCGTAACCTAACGACAATTGACTGAGTTAGAAGACAAGGGCCTTTCTAGGTTTTACATTGTTTCAATGTTCTACCAAAAAATTGGAATTGTCCCATGGAACAATCGACAGTAAATTGTTCGATCTTGCTGGAATCTCTAAAAAGCAAAACCCGGGGGAACCTACTGTTTATACTGGAGAAGTTAGCATCACCAATAAACACAGCATCAATATTACCACCAAACTGTCTCTTGGAGAACTGCCTCAAATAGAGACACTGTGTCTCGTTGTCACCCATCAGACAGCTGTACCAATGAGTAATATACTCTGTGTAAGGATCCAGCTTGTTGTTCAAGTTGAAGGCTTTGTTAGGGTGAACACTGTCCAGAGACACGGTTATGGTGATGGGATCACCTGTGGTGTTCTGACCGGTGAGACAAGTGTCCTGGGTCGGACACCGAGACCCACACTCATTCCACCCCACACACCTGCCGGGAGTTAGAGTTATCGGGTGGAATGTGGAGCTATATTGATGCGAGGAATTTATTAGGATACTTCGCGGATGGAATAATCATATCAACATTCAACATTGCAAATAACGCATATTTTGTTCACTTATTCCTGTAAAAGTAGGTAAATTACAACTGACTCAATCTCCTAGGATAGCGTACACTGTACGCCATACTGTCCACTTATGAAAGTTCTTAAAGGTACAGAGGCAACATCTGCATACTTTTATAGTTATACGTAGCAACTTAATCATCTTGATCTCATTTAGTCATTACGTCCTGCCCCGTAGGGGACAGTTTACCCGCTCAAAAACGGTGGTTAATAAGGCTAACACAGCACATATCATGTGGCCATATAGCACATATGTGCTAACACAACACATGTGTGCTAATATAAATACACCGCCAGGTTTTGGCAATATTGACGGAAAATTGCCAATGTCTACTGATGTGTGAGACTTGAAAAAGAGTGGCGCGGCCGGATATTGCAATATTAACAAGGTCTGAGGTCCTTGGAAACTTTCGAATGTTCTACCTTCAAAAATGCAGGTATCAAACTGGAAAGATCGGTGAAAAAATAGCCGGTAAAACATTTGCTTCGTACCTGTAAGTTCCAGAATCAGTTTCTGCAATATTCTTTATAATAAGATGATTGTTGGGTGACATAAAGTATCGTCCATCTAAAGTTAAATTGGAGAACAGCCCATCCACCAGGACCTGCCACCATATCGTAGGTTTAGGTTGTCCTGTAGTGAGTAAATTTAGGAACATCAAATTAAAAGTCCAAATTCTAAAATTGCCAATATTGTTGATGCCACTTTAAAAGTAAATGATTTGTACTATGTCAAATTGTGGTACGACTTTATACATAATATATTTTGTTAAATTGTGGTGACAACTTTTCAAATTTTCATGCAATCAAAATAACGGGCATTACGGATATACTGCTCGTCACCTTTAAGTCACCTTTAAGGGCAGGTTACTGGACACACACACATTTCTCACTTACATATCCTAATTTACTTATAAATCACAGGACAAGCTGCTAACTCAATAAATTAATTACCTACGACCGCACACGGAACTACCGCTGTACTGCCGGGACGAAACAGGGTGGGTGGGACATCCCGCAGTACATCCGTCAAGTTGTAACTACAGAGACTAGCAGAGCTGAACCACTGGGTCTGCTCGGAGAGGATGTGGGAGTGGGTGGAATTTCCTACTATCGGACTGTAGATACCCTCGTCAGATGAACCTGGGGATATTGGTGTGTGAGAAACTTTAATGTTAGTGTCAGAGAAACATGCACGTGGAATTTAAAGCGTAAATTGGGTAAAATTGGTAAAATGATACATTTAAAGTAGCTGAGACAATATGACGTCACAGAACATCCAGTCTCCGCTTAGTACGTTGTTGTATAAATCAGAGTGTCCTGCACCCAATTACCACTTACTTGTGAGAGTCAGGGTGTGATTCACAGTGTTGATCACTGTTGTAAAGTCTTTGAGATACGCCTGTGATGTGCCCGCGTATAGGACTGTTCTGTGGCCGGGAAGGAAGTAGGTCAGATCCGCCAGGATTGGGCCGCCCAGCAAGAGCAAGCTGATAAGACTGTGTACCGATGTACTGACATAGTTTATCATGGTTTGTACCTACCTGGAGAGTGGCGTGCTCTGTTAATTATTATAGTACTTTTGACTATCGTGATACTATTAAAACTAAAAGTGATATGATATGTGCAACGTTAATTTCTAAAAACTCTTATTTTGAATAATTCAAATTTTTGTAACCCACGCAGGTTGTGAATATAAAAATACGAAAGAGCAGGCAGCAGTCATACTTTGTAAGCTGTTGAACGACTAAAAACAATTTTAAAAACGAAATTGTTTTGATCAGAAAGTAAACAAAATCGCTGTGAAACCAACAATGTTCCCCCCCCCCCCCCCCCCCCCCCCCCCCCCCAATGTTATAATTTCGGGGCCGTACATCATCCAAATTAGCAAATCAGAAAGTGTCTGTAAGTAGAAATTGGCCGCGATGCAGACGAGAAATATGTGAGCTGTATAACATGAAGCATGTGCAGAATACATCACAGGATTAATTTAGGACCATTTATGGTAAACTAATTGTAATCGATCCCGAATCAAGTGCTCCGAGCCACTGCGTTAACATTCACGACTCACGACAGTAATAAAGCTGATAAAACGATAAAGACTTAAGCTCAAAAATAACCCGACTTACCATAACTACCCCGGCTATTATAATGAACCATACACCGTTACAAAATACTGACGGTCGGCCGTAAGAGTCCGTTAAGTTGCAGTCCGGTCACCGAATTACAGGAGCGGCAACCCCTGGGGTCGTCGGAATGAACCCCGAAAATTGCGACAATCGCTACAGAACACACGCCAAGTTATTGGTAAAGCATCCAGCTACATATTTTAGGAGAATTCAGGGAGCGTTCAGTGGCGCGTGCAGCTACCAGCTTCACCGATCCAATCTCTTTACTACCACGACCGTACGGTAGCTATACTGGAGCTAACCATTCAAAACAAACGAGCAGCAGATAAACAGTTAGTAAACTGCGGGGTAATTCCTATTCCCCATGTAATAGTGAGGTAGCTGAGTGTAGAGAAGGGGGGCCGGTAGGTCAGTGCGTGTGCTATTCCCGGATAATCAAATTTTTTTCCATTTTGTATGGCACCGGTCGGAGTACCTCATATTCCACAACAACTCGTAATGTTGTTATGTGATTATCAGGCATGTAAGGGAGGGGGGGGGCACTGGGGTCATGGCTCTGGTGTCTTTCAAGGTGGGGGGGGAGGGCAAAGTATAGTTTGGCCCCCTGTGTTTAAGGTCCAAACATTTTTGACCCAACCAATGTTACTAATGACCAGGAATTAGCTTTCAGTGCTCTGGAAAGGGTAAAGACATATAACTTCGAAATCTTTTGATGCAAGAACTTCTCAATTATTGTTTGATTCTTCAATCATATTACATATTTCCGGACGATATCGATCTGGAGACTGTTATAAACAAAGAAGAATGCGATATTTTTGGAAATAAGTAAGATGGAAGTAAGATGTTTATGATTGTCAAAGATCCATAGCTGTTGCTAACTTGCCAAGTGTTAATTATACGGTGTCTGGCATAAACTTGCAGAAACTTTTTGGGTACCAATAAACTGTCTGTGTTTGTAGTCAATAAAGATACCGCGGTTAATGTAATTCAAATGAAGTCTCTAAATTGTAGAACTAGACGGTCGATGGGGATTGGAAAAATGGGAACCATTCATATCACAGAACACAAATAAAATTAGTTGTTGTATTAGAAGTGTTGAAAGTATTAAAACCATGTGACCAAAATTATTGAAAGCTTCTGCAAAATTATATTACGAGTAAAATATTCGAAATGAAGAAGTTTAGCGTGAAGAAGATAGCGTAAGGCTCGGGATTTGAAAGATGGTGAACTAGAATTGGCCCCCCTGTTTTAAATGACGTTTTATTATGAATTATCATATTATGATTGGTCTAAAAATGAAAGGAATGTGAAATGCGTTAGATCATTGCTATCCCGGGTAATTACACGTCACCCTAATTTCATGGTATCTTGTAGCAATCCTGCACATATTAGACAAGCCACATCGCGTACACTGAACACTCCAATGATTATAGGATACAGGGAGGGTGGCTAAATATACTGATAAAGTATAAACTGATAAACCGTATTGGGAAAGAGTGAGTACTAACTAGTGAGGTAGTTACTAACAAAACAGGTAGTTACTAACAAAACAGGTAGTTACTAACAAAACAGGTAGTTACTAACAAAACAGGTAGTTACTAACAAAACAGGTAGTTACTAACAAAACAGGTAGTTACTAACAAAACAGTGAGGTAGTTATTAACAAAACACTCTTTCAGGAAGTGGGCAAGGTTCTTTCCTCAGAAATTAAAACAGATGAACACCTTAATTTTGGCAATTAGACAATTAATTTTGGCAACTAGCCAAATTGGTGCTCTGCCTCCGGGAGCCATATAGATCGTATTTGTTGCATGATGTCACATCTTTGGAAACCACTGTCCAAAATCGAACGTAATATTACTTTTATTTTAGCTCTCTTATCCTTTTCTCTAGTTTAACACATACTGCATTAATCTCATTTTCTCGGGCTCAGAAACCCTAATTTATTTTCACTTCTTACCACCAGGCACCAATTGAAATAAAAAATGCGATTGTAATTGGTATGTGCATTGTGTGCAGAAAAGAACGTTTGGGGCTGAGTATGTGATTTTCTAAGTAAAATAAAAACATTTATTAAAGCAAGTTTCTGGTTTCGGGATAGCCTGTAGCAGGCAACGCCCGATACTAATGCTTCTACAGACCTACACAAGTGCAAGTAAGTAGGTAAATATTCATGCTAGGCATGTGGCACCCATTACGGTGACCATCCATTGAAGTTAAACTTAAAATAAAAACATGGTATTTGCAAATTCAAGCCGGAAACAATCCTCAGATCATTTCTTGAAAGTTAAAGGCCTCTTTCCCATCAGGTATCCAGGCGTTGTTAACTTTGTAGAAGATCACCAGTAACTTTGTAGGAGATGACCAGTGGTACATATTTGATATTCCAGCGGTAGCTTATGGATATCTTTCTATACTGATATACTGCGATAATGGAATGTTATATAAACACCGTACTAATTTAACCTGGTACTGAATACTATAATAATAATACTGAATACTATTAATAAGTATCAATGATCTGTAGAGCATGGTACTGTAGAGACGTATTCTAGACAATTTACTGAGATCTCAACTTACTAAGGGCTCTGTTTACTAGTAACGTATCTGTTTACTAAGGCCTCTGTTTACTAGTATCTGTTTACTAGTAACGTATCTGTTTACTAAGGACTCCAATATCATCGGCTTTGATGTTTACTGTTAAAATGCTGCACTTATCTTGTTTGTACGATGGGATCGAAATTTATTATGGCTTTGATCTCAACAAGTCAATATAATGGCGTACACCGCCCTGGTAAACACACTAAACACTTCCTCAAAATGACGAGGCGATGATCTCGGGGGAGTAAATCACCAGGGACAAATTAAAATAAGATAATATTCACTCCATATAATCAATATCGACTATTAAACATCGTGTACGCTGCACTGTATATGATAAGGTTACTTCCACAAATCAAATATAAAATCAGATGTCGCAGACTTACACCTCGATTTATATAGTGAACCGAATATGTGTTAACTGCAAGATACATCTTCGATTATCAATGAACTTTGTTGATGAGCCATTTCAAGCAATTTTGTTGGAATTTTTATTAATTACATGCGGTCGTAGATGCTTTGTCTCTGCACCCGATATAAACTTCAAGTTTAATATTATGTGCATCTTTGTCTAAGTTATAATTGCATATATTAAACGCTGCAACTATTTATAATTAATCTACGAATACAACCCTAATGCTCGTGGAGATATCCCTGGGATGAATAGATCATTTTATTTTATATGTATAGCAAACTTATCTTAAAATATACCGGAAACCGGATAAAATCTGGCAATAATTGTAAACCAAGAATAATCTAACAGTGTTGAAATCTTGTGACAAAATTTGAGCCCCATTTATGTTTAACGTTACGTCATCCTTATCCACGGATAAATTTGATAAATATGTTATCCAAGGTAACATATTTAACATAATAATACGGCAGTGTGCACGTGTCCTTTACGAGTGCGCTAGCTGTGAACTGTGCTACTACTGCTGTCAAATATCAACTAAATCCACCGGCACTACTTGAAACCTGTAAAGGGTCTAATGTGGCACTGTGGCAGGATGACTCCTTAGACCAGTATTTAAAATAAAGAGCACTTTCGAAATACAAGGTGGCCTGATCAGTAGTACAGTCAAATCCGTCCTAATTTAAGCCTTTGTCGGACAAAATTCGCAACAAAGCGATTTTAACGGGATATGGTCGGGACAGGTCCCAGGAATCATTCCAGAGAGTTCCCAAAATCCTCGACTTCAGGAAAATCCACAATTACCTTTTGGTCACTTTGGTCCGACAAAAAGACGGATTTGACTGTACTACAGACAAACTAGCGAATAATGTGTTCGATACACAGTAACATACACTCACGTACACGATTCGTGGAATAAAAAATGGTTTGGTCAACCTTAAGTGATGCGGAGGCAAATTGAGCCATTGGGCTCGAACAATGAGATAATATCCGGAGTCATAAACCTGGGTAATCTAATGCAGGGATTAGCTCATTATGCCCTAATATAACCGAGCTTGTCTACGGCTATTCACAAATAATAGTTACATTAAATGCGTCACTTTTCGTGAAGATGACTCACCCACTGCGGCTGATGGTAACAAACAACGTACAAAATGAGCATGCGAGTTGCGACTTAAAGGCATGCCAACGGATAGTGTCACGGTTTACACCAAATGGGTTTTGAATTTCAGGCCCACTGAGAAGCCAATATTGAATGACACCCCTCTTTCGAACCAGATATGTAAATGTGCCGGACATCCCACTTTAAACTAGATATGGTAATGTGCCGGACACCCCACTTTTAAACTAGATATGGTAATGTGCCAGACATCCCACTTTAAACTAGATATGTTAATC